TTTAGTGGCAGACTTGGCAGTGTTAGGTTGGATTCAATGATCTTAAAAGTCCTTTCCAACCTAAATGATTCTATGATTCAAATAGAGTCAGGAAGGAAGTACCACATGGTCCTGTTTTGGATGCAAGACTATTTGATACACTCATAATGTCTACAAATATATTGGACAGGAATATAAATTCAAAATGCTCTCAACTGAGACATACTAGCTTTAGAAAGGGTTACATTCAAGAGTAGCAATGCTACACTAAATGTTCAGCAACATCAATTTAAAACATTTCTGTATCTTGCTCCTCAGCAGTTCCTTCCCACTTCCAATGTGCACTGTTTACAATCATATGGGGGTGGGCTTTGCTATAAACAATATCAAAATACAAGATCTTTGAATGGAAGATTTAAAACCTCAGGACTCTGGCCAAGTTTAGATTGCAGCCCTTGACCTCCCAAACCAACGTTGGTAATGCATATTTGGATATAAGTGGATGGGCAGGAGCACTTTAGTCTAGTATTGTTCAACTGTAATACCTCACATTTGTTCTTAATGAATTTCAGTCCATTTCTCCAATTTGTCAAGATCATTTTGAAGCTAGAGTTACTGCTATGCATATTGAGTTGTGAAGCTACAGCAACAGGAAGAATTAATCATTTCAGGAATCAGCAATTTTTTTAAAGGCTGCAGACATTACCAAAGTTCAGTGTAGTCAATAATGCCAACTTCTGTGGAAAAAAACCCTACAACTACCCTGAAATATACTAGCATAAAGCCAGCTGGAAAACCATAAAGTAATCCTTTCTACTTAGCACTGCTAGGGCCTCGGTTAAGATAGCGGGTCTACAGTCACATGCTCCACTTCAAGAAGTGGACCAACTGGAAAGAATCCAGAGGGCATCAACAACAGAGCAGAAGTCTAGAAACCATGTGGAAAGACTAACAACCTGAAGTTACTTAGTCTAGAGCGGAATGAGAACACTCTTTAACTAACTTCCAGAAAAAAGACAGGAAAACTTATTCTCATCTCCCCAGATGAAAAGGACAAGTAGCTTTATACTGAAGATGTACCTTAAAGATTAATATTAAACATGCATTGAACACTGGGAAGAAAATACTTTCTAATGTTAAATTTAGTAAAGCTTTGTGAAAGAGTGCCTATGGAGTGTGGAAAGGCTCCATGATGAGGTTTAAGAGAATGATTTTCTATCTGTCATTTCTGCCTTGGAACTGAAAAATGCATTAGATGGCCCAAGTCCCTTCCAAGTTACATGACTTTTTATTTACTCTGTCCTCTTTCTAAATACAGATAATATGTTTCTGTAAATATTTTCTCAATTCCGCATTCTAAAGAAGGACACAGCTTGTTCATAGGACGGTGACCTACAGACTCAAGGATCAGAGTGCTTTCATGCTACAGAGGTCAGCTTGGGTTATAAGCATGCAGGACACAGCAACTGCATTCATTGGCTATCTGCAGGTTACAGTACAGCAAGACAGTGAGCCAGTCAATAATACTTACTTGTCTGCTGCATGACATATTGTGCCACATGTGTCAGCCATATCATCGACAAGAATTGCTACTCTGTCTTTCACGTCACCAACCAAGACCATTCTGTCCACCTCATTTGCTTTCTTTCTTTCCTTATGAATGAGAGCAAATTCCACATTCAGTCTGTCAGCAATTGAAGTAACCCTAAGTTACAGAAAGAAATACACCAGATTTAGAGAATTATTTTAAAAGAAAGAACAGAGCCATACATGTCTATTTGTCATAAAACACAGTTTTTGTGTTTCCCGGCTTTCAAATTACCGCAGCACAAACTTTAGCAAGTAATGAGACAGGTGAGAAACAATCTTAATTCACTGCTAATAAATACAACCAGACAGTCTTAAGCTATACTCCAGAAATCGATTTTTTTATTGAATTGACTTTGGTTTTCTGTCATTAAGTGCCTGGCTTTGAAAACATTTCAGCTATTCACAAGCTTTTATTAAGCTGCTGCAATACCTAGTCACGCTAGATAATTTACAGTAGAGGTAGCCTCAATTCTAAGCCTACAGCAGCGTGCATTTTAACATCCCAACTGAAAATACCATTGGAGGAATGTGAAACCAAACCAAAGTGAAAAACCAAACAAGTAAGTTAATAGTGATTAATTTTAGCAGTACTTGACTAGTAATCAAGTAGCTTACTTCATTAGTAATTCCCTTAGCTATACATCTGCTTGACAAAGATCTTTTAAAACTATTCAGGGTGACCTCTGGTGGCCAGACAAACCTCCAATAACAAACTTAATTTGTTACAGACTTCCAATTGCTTTTTTCACGTTCTTTAATATACCAGAGCTGGTAGGTATAAAGACACAGGAATAAACAATACTATACTTTTTCTATGCTAGTGCAACCTTGTAGCCTGTCTTTTTAGAATACGTTTAGAATGTTGTTAACAAGGTTATTAACACGCAGAGTTAATAGAGAATATAGTTTTGTTTCTTTACCACTTAAATATGAAGGAGTTGTTAGTTACTGTATTTCAAAACTGGGTGATAAACAAAAAACCCAAATGTTTTGGCATTTTTTGTCAACAATAGTGTAATTTCATAGCAAGTCTCAATACCTCAGAGGCATTAAGATATCAACAAAATTTGCATGCCTTATTTCAGTCACAAAATTTAATAAGCTGGAAAAAAACAAGCACGGTAAGAAACAAAAGAGAATTCAGATATTTTAAATGAGTGCAAGAACTTTTTTTTTAATGTCTTTAATGCTTACAGATTTAAATTTTAAGAAAACTTTCTTCACATTCTATTCACTTTTCATTAACCCAAGTATTATTTGAAGGTCTACATGTTTTAAATGGAAAGGCCAAACCATTTTTTTTTTTACATTATATTACTGGACATGAAGGAGAATCTGTGAATTTATTGAAAACAACATCTTCCCCTACTGCATCAGCAATTTCTTGTTTGCATTACAACAGAAAGGTACCAAAGATAGACTCTATCTGTCTATGTTAAACACAGTGAAAGTGGTCTTCAAAAAATAAACTCTTACGATCAACTTGAAAATATACAAATATTTGGCATAGGAAAAAATGCTGTCTTCTGACTTGAGTTCTAAGCAAAGGCTGTATTTTGTTTAAAAAAAACCAACCAAACAGAAAGACAAACAAAAAACAACTGTGAAAACAACAGTATCCAGATAGGAAAGAACAAAGAAATTTAATTGATTGAGTCATCTGAGTTTTAGAATGCTTTCTATGGTTTATATTCTTCACATCTTTAACTGGATTAATCTAAACAGGAACAACTATGGAGTTCTAATCAGTCTTATTTCCCTATTAATTATTAGAACATGAACACTCACAACAGACCCAAGGACTTCAATTAAAATCAAATTAGGACAGTCTTTCACATTTTTCCCCATACTACCTTCCAAACACTTAAATTACTATGGGCTTACAGGATTCTTACTTCATTTGTCTTTGTTCCCATTCAGTTTTGTAGCAGCAGCTCGACCAATAAAACTTGACAATAAGCATTTCGCCTCAATGGCATGCTTTATCACCTCACCAGCCAGCGTGCTATTGAGCTTTTGCATTAGTTTATACTCAATACATACCAAATAAAAGATAGTCTGCTAAATGAGTAACGCATGCTGCAAATGAAGAAAGACTCCAGTGAACTAACTTTTCTATTTTCACCTTTTGCCACTCAAAACAACTTCACTCCCTTCTTCTAGTGCTCACAGTGCACAACCTGGGGTCAATAGATTTACAGGAATGCAACAATGTAAAGAAAAAAGAAACACGACTCAAGCAAGCTCTTACCTAAATGCCAGCAGTGAGGATAGGCCATATGCTTTGACAGAGAAGGGAAACTTAGGCAATTCCAGAGCGAAGCAGGAAGAGGTGCAGCAGCTGGACTAAAGAAGCAAGCAGCAGGAAAAATCTCTTCCCTCCTGTGGAGGGATTTGGCTAATGAGGCCATATCCAGGGAGAGAGAAAAAGATTTTCTTTAGAGTATAGAAAGCTCCTGGATGTTTTTAAGCATGAACAACATTGGAAGAACTAGTTGTTCTGTTTTTACAATGCAGTTGGATTCATCAGTGATGTACCCTGTATCTTGCACAATTAATAGAGGAAAAAACTAGTTCATTAACCACTAACTATATGGAAAACTAGTTCATTAACCACTAACTATATGGAAAATTAATAGTTTTAGGCTTGTATAGTACCTTTTTGCACCACCTGCATCAGGTGAGACTATGATACAGTTTCTCCACTCCAAAATGTTCTCTTTAATCCACTGCAGCACTGCAGGTTCTGCATACAGGTTATCTACTGGAATGTCAAAGAAACCCTAGTCCAAAAGAGAAAGAGAGTTTCATGAATATACGTTTATGTCTTACCTGGAACGAAGACACAGGGACAGAATCAAGCCTTTGCCTTTCATGTATGGTAGAACTTTAATTAGTATTTTGCACTGGCCTAATTCTGCCCCCTGATATTACTATCAAATGCAGCAGAAGTCAGACAAATATTAAGGTCTCTAAAAATCTCACCCAAGAACAGTGAAATAAGGAACAGCTGTTCTCAAATGATATACAAATCAGAAAAGATGATCACCTTCAGGCACTCAAGTAAATTCACGCTTGTGAAAAGCTCTCAAAAAATCCAGTGAATAATATACAACTTCCACAAATTTCAACTGCTTGACATGAACAGTAGTATTTCAATGTGGGGAAGATTCCAGTTAGTATTACTTGAGCAGCAGAAATGGAATCTTTCTTTTTGTGCAAGTTGTAACAACAAGAAATCTGTGTTAGACCACCAATGAAATTGCTTTTTATTTGCATGACAGCCATCTAGCATAACAGGAAATTCTGATTAAACAGAATTACCAGAACTGGAAGAGAAGGTATTTTCTAGAGAAAGCAAGGTATCTTGAAAAGAGGTACACGTGAGAATGACAAATGATGTCTATTCTGTGTCCGAGGAAGGAGTTTTGTGATTTGCTGCAGGTTGCCAGCCTCCAACTCCACTTATCTTAAGAGAATATTGTCCCCTTGGCTGTAACAACAAAACTCTATCTAGGGCAATACTATAATCTCTGACCAGACCAAGATTAAGAGAACTTGCCCCAAACCACTATATTTTATGTTCTGGGAGCTCTTACACGAGACTTGGCAAATTCCACTGAAGACTCCAATGCACAAGTATTCTAAGTGCCCGCAAAATCAACCCATAAAATCAAGGCTGGTCTCTTTCAAAAAGGGAATTTAATTAGAAACAGGTAGTGAGACTTTCTCTGAACCCTGAGAATTACACTTCTGTATATAGCCTTTCAGAACAATGAGAAAAAACAGAGAATTAATATTAGCCTTTCACATTAATTCAGCAGAGCCCCTAGCCACAGTTAGTAAGAACTGCTAGTTACCTGAATCTGAGAAGCATGCAAGTCCATGGTGATTATGTGGTCAGCCCCTGCAACTGACAGCATGTTGGCAACAAGTTTTGCAGAGATTGGAGCACGACTCTGAGGAATAAAGCACAAATGTTTAAATTTTAAAAAGATTTCGACTAGATGCAAGGAGTCAGGAAATTAGCTACTTTTATTGATTTTTTCCTTTAGAATATTTGGAATCTAGATATGAAGAGCTCCAGAACTTTAGCCAAACTAGCCTGTCAATAGCTAATCTTGCTACTAGGGTTTTGAAACTCAGCAAAACTTTTAGGAATATCTAAATCAGCTTGCACAGTCTGCCTAATAATGCTTTGTAGTAATTAGACTAACTAACAAGCAGATAATATTGAGGATATAATTTTCCAATTCTTCTATTTAAAACTTTCAGAAAGACAGACAATCTCCATTTCTCTAAGTCACTACCCTACATTAACATCCAACTCTCAAGCAACTATCCTATTCTAAAAAACATTGCCAAAAATGAAGATTGAACCCAACTTTTGAAAACACTGCTTTAAAACAAAGTTAGTATCAAGCATTTCTTCATGATACAGTAAAGCTTGTAACAGATCCATGTTGGCAGGGGTCTTCTACCCCAGCCTATTTATTTATTCTTTTCTGCTAATTCAGGCTTAATTGTTGGATGCAACTAGGAGTCTAGAATTCCCAAAAGGGACAGTGGGGATGAAAAAAACAAAGAAGTGGAAAGAACAAAAGAAGAGCAAAAATTTATTTAGCAAAGTTAATGCCAATGTCAAGAGCTTTTTAAATGTGACAAAGACGCAGAACAAACAGCAACATAAAAAAGAGAAGATGGAAAATCATGACTGGAGGATACCTCACTTTTTATTTTTGAGCAACTCCGAAGTTTTTTTTCAGATTTTTTTAAGCTCTGAAAAAAGCTATGTTGCCCTAGACAGCTTTCTCTGTAACAGAAATACTAAACAAAACCTTCTGTTTTCTTTTTGCCAATCTTTAAATAAGGCTAATAGCTGGCAATAACATTAGCATGAAGGCAGAACTGCAATTCAGGGGTTCCATCTCACTGTCAGACTCTGGTTTTTGCTGGCATAGTATTCTCTCCTGCTACATCTCTTTATCAAACAGTCTCATTTAGCCTCCTAGGAACCCCCTCTCCCTCCACCCATATACACAATTACAGAGTATCTCTGCTTTCCTTCCACTAATGCTCAAGGGCCTAACCTAAAATAAGCTGAACCACTGTCAGTTTAACCTGGATGCTTTTCTGTCTGTGTCATATCAAGGAACTAGTATTTTCCTCAAAACTTTTGCTAATTTAGGTGGAAACTCAGCATTTCTGTTATAACCTGCAGATTGCCAACATACTTCCAGAAAAGAAACTGAGATACTGCAGTTTTTCTTATGGCTGGATCAAGTTTATCATCATCATTACAGAAATTTTTCATTTTGAAAACCATCCTTTTGGTTTTTGTGTTTCACAGAACATCATCACCGTTTGGTTTGTGTAAGATACACAGAAGATAAATGCAACAGCCAGCACTTCCCTAGATCTCTGCAATTCAGATGCGTATAGCTTCTGTAAGAGTTTGCTATCATTAGCACTTCAGCATGGATGATTTTCTGGTTACTGAGGACTATGCTGCTCCTCATTTAAGTTCAGTTCTGTAAGGTTCAAGCTGGCCAAAGCTTTCTGGATATTTCTATTATTAGTAGTAAACTTTTAGTTCATGCCATTCAAATTCCTGATCACTTCAGCTCAACTTAGCAGTACAAACTGACATTTTTAAGCTGGGCTTCAAAATATTCTCAATTCTCAAATATCTAATAAAACAAGGATTTAGTTTCTACTCTTTTGACTCTACCACAATGTTCTCTTATCAGCTCTTTGCAAAGATCTGGTTTGATGCTACAGCTAAGCTGGACTAACAGGTGATGCTGAAACCAGAGGTTTGCTCCCCTTCCCTTCTTCCCAGGCTATACACTTCCACCACTTCCCTTGCACTGCACACCGAGACTTGTCTGAAACCAAAGCAGCCAGATGAGGCAGCTCGAGTGGAAGTGAAGGGAAAAGAAGATGGCAAACCAGGACCACCCCCTCTGGTAGAAATAAGTAACTAGTTCAGGCTAGCTGCTAAAGGCAAATTACATTCTTCCCAGAACGTAGTTTGCCATTTCCACTCCATCCGGCATACTGAAATTTGCTTTTATTTTTTTCCATTTCTGTTCAATGTGAGTAGCACTTAGCTTGTCTCATGTATCAATATCATGAGTATCACCATCACAAAAAAAACCCAAAATACTTTCCTGCATCGAATACTCATGTATACGTTACCAGTTGATACTTCTTTCAGCTGCTGGCCTTGCAGGCTGCCTTCCCAGAAGGAAGAACTTGAAGGTTTTACCACTAGGTAACTTGTTTTAGCAGACATGCACACATCACAGATTACCTACGTGTTGGTGGACAGAGGGTCTTGGAAGGAAAGATAGCCAGACACCAATACCTGTTTCTCAAGAATGGGCTAATAGCAGATTAAGACAAATGAAGTTTGCAGCTATCTGACAGTTTCCTTTACACAAAACTGTGCATTAAAAGAAAACACACATGACATGTTCAAAAGGATTTAAGATTTGATTGCTTGCATAGAAAATAAGTTTTGTGCTACAATATGATCCAAATTGAAGATTATTTTAAAATCAAAGAGTATATTCATGGGAACCTCAGATAACCTGGCCTCATTATTCAGAAACTTGGATGACAAAGGTAGATGTGAACTCAAGATTTTCTCTATCTTGGAGTTTGTAAGGTTTGCTTCTGATCAGAGAGGCAAGAACACAAAGAGATTCACAGTATTCATTGTTCCATTCTTTGACACAATTTGAGATTAGTTTCAGAATTATTAGTGTGAAACACAACATTACATTATGTACAGAAACTAAATTGTAAAAAAAAAAAAAAATCACTGAGTTTTTAGTTCCTAAGCAAATTCCCCGCTTACATATAACAAGTTATATAAATGATTACTTCCTTTGTGATGCATTACAAATTTATTCACAATTCTTAAAATTACCAGGGGCAGGAGGGAATCCACTAAGCTAATATAAACAACCTCACAAGAGTAACTATGCAAAGGACGCATAGCTGAAAGTAAAAGTTGTCCATCAAGATTAAAGCTCTGTTGCCTTTAAGCATCTTATTACATCATCTTGCTCAAAATGCATCACATGCATATTGAACAAAAAAAAAAAAAACAAAACACCCAAGAAACCCCAAAGATTTATAACTGGAACTTTCACTTCCAAGAAAGCCAGTTGTGAAGTGTATGGATACTGAATGTTCACTAATGTATTACCTAAATTTATCGTTTCAAAAATGAGATATGCTTTGACGCTTCAGAAGTTGACAGCCATTATCTTGAATGTCCAAATAAATTTTTAACTAGAAGCTAGGAGTTTTCTAGTAGCAAATTAATCCACAGGATTACTGTCATGGCCTAGGTGAAACACAACTGAAATCAAGAAGTGAAACTGAAAATGTTTCCAGTTATACATAATGTAACCCAGTAAGTTTCACCCTTTAAGGCCATATTAATGGAAATGCATAGCGTTAGATTAAAAAAAAAAAAGAGGATACCTACCCAACGCTCCACGGACCCCTTCTACAAATCAAAAAAACAAAGTTACATGAGCTGTAGAACACCAAACTTACCTGTCACTCTACTTCTAACTTATCTCAAAGGCATCTCTGCAGCATCCTACATAAATGTGTCCTGCCCACGGCTCGGAAGGTTAGCATGATTAGAGGATGCATAAATGCAACTATAGCCAAAGCACAGATACACCTGAGCTAATTTTAAATTAGCTAGCTTGTGTATCAGAAGTATTCTAGTTTGTGGCAGCGCTTGATTGCATCTAAATTAATTTACCAACTTTTCTACGATTCTCAACAAGCCTTTTTTTTTTTTAAAACCTCTGTTTCTCTTTTAAAGCTAGTCCAGGTTTAATGCTAAAATTTTCAGAGTAAATTACACAGGTCCTGTTCTGAATATGATTTTTTAAATGCAAGGCCCCTTCCTTAAATAAATAAATCAGGAGCACTTTCATTGTTCTCAGTGATCATAACTGCAACAGAGGCATGAAGAATACAGGGTTATTTCAAGCAGCAAGGACTCAGTCTATTTAGTTCTTTATGGATTAGAGTCAACAACTTAAATTCAAACCAGAAAACAGCATCCAGCTAGTGAAGATTATACTGCTTCAGTTCATAGTCAAACCACAGCAGTATCTTTCACCAGAGAGAAAAAAAATCTGCCTATAACCATAGGAAGAAAATGGCTGGCACTTTACTGACACTTCAGGCAGCGTACAAAGCTTGTGCTCTCAATATGGGTCAAAGACCAAGTGATGTGATGCAATCCAACAGTGGGAGGAAAGATCTCCCTGTCAATAAGCTGCCCAATGTTGACAGCTATATTATAACTTATTTTGCAACATGGAGGTCAACTACCAAGGTTAATTTCCAAAGATGGCAAACATTTTCTCAATTGCAAAACAGGTAAAAAAAAAAAAAAAGAAAAAAGAAAAAAGAAATGGTTTGCTTGGAATTGCAGGAGAACTCAGTGACACCCAGAGAAGAGTCTGGAACAATTCTCAAAACCTTTGTTAATCAAAATCACTTTCCTAGGCTATCCATCTTCAGATGGCATTTCCAAAAGACAAAATGCTCCTGCGTGGCATGCTGGGCCACTACACTGTGGGTTTTAAGTGTCTCTTGGAAGTCTGCCACATGGATTTTGAGTACTCTTGACGAGGCATAACCTAGATGCATGGAAAACTTGGGACATACTCATCCTTTTCCTACACCAAGAACTTACAGGATGGTCCAGCAGAATCTTCCAATATGAATTTGGAAATCAAAACATAGTGAGATGCTTTCCTTCCCTTTCAACAAAATGTTTATTGCTTCCCTTTCAAGCTCTTTTGATAAAAAGAAGTATTTCAGCTCTCCTGATCAAGGGAGAGCATTATACAATAAAAAACACAGCAAAAAGGAAGTTCCAAAAGATGTAGGCAAAGAATAGAGAGCTACTATCTAACTCCTGAATTCCGCTTTTGGAAGTATAACAAGTGGGTCTTGGTAATATTAGTACGGTGTTAGAGAGCCTGCACTTAAAGAATGAGTATACTAGAAAACAACTTTTCTGTATTTAGTTTTGTTCTCAGACATCACAAGCTGAGCGTTACATATTTTGTAATATCTGCTATTATTTTTAGCTTCTCCGTTACTTCTCAGTCCTGTTATGTTTTATATAAAAGAATGTAAAGAACAACAGACAGCTTTCAGGATGGTTTGCTCGATGCCCAAAGTGAAAGGGAGGGGGCAGTCCATTTATGGGAAGTATCGGAGGGGGCAATTTTCCAAAAAGACAACTATTGCAATCCAATCTTAAAAGCCAAATTCATATTTATTCTTGTTAGTTCTTTTCAAGTAAGTTTAGGTAAAAGTAACATTCACATAACATATCAGAGGGTTTTTGTATATATAGTAGAGATAGGAAAGTTTAGTTCTGTATTTTTTAAAATTAAACTCACTTGCCACAGAGAGTTTGTTACTGTGTTATCAACTTGGCTGAACTGGTATATTCATCAGTTAAGGCAGACCAAATTCAGGAAAAGGGCATTAAGATCAGAAGAGTATTTATGAGGTTTCCTATTTTTGGTCTGCATCAATAAAAATAATTATTACAGATCTAAAAACATTTTTTTATCTGCATTGCAGCATAAAATAATGTTTTTATTAATTACTGTTATGCTTTGCAGATTTAATCAGTTCCTTCCATTTGGCTCTCTGTTTAACCATCTAGGGTAAAGCCCACCTACATAATCATTACAGCACTTTGAATTTAGGATTTAATTCCATGCAAGTAAAATATCTAAAAGGGTGTACTCTCTTCATATATAGAGGTAAAAAAATTAAAAAAGAGAAGCTGGAAAAAGCAGGAAAAACAGTCCCATAAGGTGAGATTTGCTAGCAGAGTACTCTGCAATATATCGCACACATAGGATGTACCTACTTTTTCAAACTGAAGGCATGTCAATTACCAAAACACAAGCAAAAAATAATTTGTCTCACTTCATTCACCTATAGATGACATAATTGAACATTTTACCAAAAAAGGATGAAAAAAAAAAAGGCAAATCTTTCAAATCGCTTAAGTGTTTATGAAATGATGTTTCATGTCCAAAAATTTGAAATGAACAAGCTGAAAAAAAGCCTTCCGAAATTACACAGTTCTTACCTACCTTGTCTTTCTTATCTTGCCTGGCATATGGAAAACATGGAATTACGGCAGTCACTCTGGAGGATGATGCAATCTTGCAAGCATTGATCATGATGAGCAGTTCCATTAAGTTGTCATTTATTTCTCCACAGCCACTCTGGATGATATACACATCTTCTCCTCTCACACTTTCACCAATCTCTACACTGAAACAGCAGGAGATGACCATTTAATTACTGGAAAAGCATTATTAAAGAATAGAAAAAACAGTTTTTAACAAACTTTCATAGTTTATCCCCATTTAGACTAAGATTTTTTTACAGCGATTTGGGTAACTGTCCCCTTGATACAGCATCTATTTCAATATAAGCCAGTCTAGAATTTACTTTAGCCTAAATATGGTCTTCATAAGGTTAGCACCAACCAACATGTAATTATGGCTATAGCACTGATGCAGCTCACATTGTTACTAAATTTCATACTGCTTTTTTTGTTTTAGTCTGTCTATTCTGTGTCTTTGCCACCTCCCAAGGAGATGACCATTTAAAGAATAACCTAGATGATAAGTACAGAAACAACACAGCCAACTTCAGAGCATTAAATACTACCTGCATCAAAATACCTCCTTAAAAAGGGCAATTATTTCTCTATGATAATTAAGAAGTTACTAAATTCAAGAGACTACTGCCTTTTAGAAGAGAGAAGTATCAAACCACACCGCAAAACCAAAAGTCTAATTAAAATTTACACCATGATGTCCAAGCAAAGTATTGTTTTAAAAAAGAAAATCTTAGAGAAAAGCTAAGAGGGCTGCTCAGCAACAGCTCACCATGACTCAACAACTCTCATGTTGTGTCAGTTGTTCTATTTGCTCTAACTGTGCTTACATTGGTTCCTTATGATAGTATCTAAGAGTTATTTTATTCTTTCACAGATTTCAAGCAAATTCTCGCACTGGTCACTGCTCACACCACAGAATTCAAAAATTAAATAGATCTCATAAATAAACAGGGAAATTAAAACAAATCAATTGAATGTGGATTCTTTTTCAACTCTAGGCCCAAGCAAGAGAAATCTACTGTTGAACCACACTAACTTTTCACACCTGTTAGTCCAAAACTCACACAGAAAAACAGCAGACTAACCTTCATTTTTCCCTGAATCCATGCACAACATACAAGAAACATACAGACTTCCTAAATAATGAGGCGATCAGACCTTTCAAACCCATGTTCTAAGTTAGTCTTAATTATTAAACGTTAAAATATCTTGAGCCCTTATTTAAAAGGTTGCATCTTTACCCAAGACACAAATAAGCAAAAGCTTCTAGCTGGAAACCAGTTAAGTGGCCCAGATGTGGGTAGAATAATTTCTCTAAGGGGTCCTTCAACGCTGAGGCTTGTCCTAGTCAAACACAGTCCGAACAACTTTCGTTTATCAGCTTTCAGGGTGCTGTGTAAGACTCATTAGCTTTCTGTAGCTACAAAACACAGAAAGGAATTTACTGCTTAAAAACATCTTAATGATATGCAAACATTTGATTTATTACCATCAAGATAGTTGAGTCCATGTTCTCAGCTCCCCTATTCAACTCGTCTGCAGTCCCAAACAAGCTACAAAAAGATTCTGCCTTAATTTTTCTCCTTAATTGAATACATTTTTTGCCAAAGAAAGCTACTAGCAGGATTTCTTAAGGCCAAAAGAAAGCAAACCGTCCAGCAAACACCAGGCTCTCTGGAAGGACAGAGGTGGTCAGGGACAATGTCATCTGCAGATACGTCAGTGTTAATCCAGGAAACCTTTTGGAGGCTTTCATCATGGCACAAAGACAATTTTTTGGTCATAAAACTCTTACTTCCCTGTCCAAGTTTTTGATCAATGGAATAGGGCTGTTCAGAGAAAACTGTTTTGATCAAAATATTTTCTTAGTTTTTTTTCCTTTTTGGAGCTGAAAAAGTTTTGGTCAACGTAACTTAAGTTCAGCCAGACACTAAGCATATTTCATAACTGGAAGAACTGGTCAGGCTTAATTAGAAGCCCTACAAAAAACAGTTCTGCTGTTGGAATATCAGAGTTCCACTTCCCAGAAGAATAAACAAAACCAAATAAATAAATAGAGAAACCTGTCATTGCTTCTGAACACACTAAACCAGCTCTGAGTAAAGCATCTACCTACTAGCTTATAGACGCAGCCTCAATCATCATTATAGATTCACGGTGATTATTATGAGGGCTCTGAAAAATAATTGCCACTTGATCCGGCACTTACACAGACCTGCTTAATAACAAGTGTTGTCACATACCACACCTTTGGAATAGGTCCAAAGAAGAACACCACCACATGCAAAAGCTCTATGGCACCTCTTTCAACTCAAGACTGTGAAGTTACACTCCAGTTCTGGAAATTAACCTAGGAGCCATTACAAAGGAGAAGAAAGTAGAAAAAGACTAAGAAGAAAACACCGTCAATTTGTAGGGAAGAATGTTATTGGAGTGACAAAGGAGAGCAGACTAAGATTTTAGTACTTGGGGGCAAAACGTAACCTCTAGTTTCACAGACATATTACATAATAGGAAGAAACTTTGCTGAATGACAAAAATACATGATCTTAACATTCATTATATACACAAAGAACACTGAATTATAACACTCGGAGTTGTTTTGCTCCTTTAAAAAACAGTCATTTCTAAGCACACTGCTAAGAAATAACAGGTTTCAGAAGGTCAGGGAATATACTTTGAGATAAATATAGATCTGGTTCATACAGTGGACCTGAAGTGATGCTTCTTCCATTGCCATTAACTACTATCTTTTCAATGACCTTGGGCTCTAGCAATAACTTTTTTACCTTGTAAACTACTTAGAAAACGAAAATGGTACTACTTTCTCTCTTGGTGCATTTGAAAAATTTTTGGTTATGCTTTTCAGGCCAGAATGACATACTTATTTGGCACACAGAAATGTGAATGTATGTGTATATGTATATAGAAATACCTTTTCTAGTAGACAGAAGTTATGAGCAGACTAAAATAAATCAAGCTTAAATTAATACTTGCATAGCATTCAGGAGTAACCCTGCTAAATGTGCCAGAGAATAGCATAATGTAATTATTGCTGGAGACAGCTGTGCAACAGATTAGTATCTCTTATCGTCTACCTTCTCAAAGATTGGTATTGAGAGGTATTGTGTTAACTCAACCAACAGAAACACAGTTGCCTATTTTACCTTCACTGAGCCACACGGTAAAAGATAACCAGTCACTGTGTTGCAAGTATTCCATCAGACATAACCCCTGTACTAACCACATTGGGGTTTTTTTGGGTGCAGTTTTTTTGTTGGTTGTTTTTGGGGGGGGTGGCAGTTTAGGGCTTGCTGTTTGTTTGTTTTGGGGTTTTTCTGGGGTTTTTTTGGGTTTTTTTTTTTGGTTGGTTGGTTTTTTTACACATTCAGCTATAAACAGGCAAACAATAAGAGACTATAAACTATAGTATCAGGTATCTGAAGTACTGTACCTCAGATATCTATTAGAGAAACACTAAGCTAACAGCAGTCAAACTTTGTAACAGTTATCTTATTAACATTACTACTAAATTCCACTTAGACCATCTATATCACAACCTAATTAACTCTTTGGGGGGTTATTTAAACAACATAGCGAGGACACAGAGGAAGGACACAAGAACAAGCTCTTGCCTCAAGATTACAAGTTCTGTTTGTTTTATGCAATTTAATCAAATTCAGCTATTTGGTAACACTCAGTTTAAAAAAGTTCTCGTTCAAGAAAAGTCAACAGAACCTGTACATTAAAAGCCCTTACACCACACAATTGTGTTTTAAAGTAAAAATTATAGAAATTAATAGCTCACAAAAGTAATTAACTTTATTTGAGCTAGTTGCTTGGAATCCACAAGTACAAGGCTCTAGCTGGGAAAGATACACATAAGACAGGACATGTTTGAGTGTTGGTATCTGCCTTCATCTTGCAAAGGCTGATTTGAGAGTTCAATTTAATAAGTAGAAACTTGGATAGACTAATTGCCAGGAATTAAGGATAAGGCTCAAAACCCACTTACGTTACAAACATATTTCAATGGCTGAAGCACCCATTAAGCAAAATTCAAAGTCAGGAGTAACAGCAGGCTGAGCTCCTTCTGAGGTAGATTTATAGTACACTCCCAACAGAACTTACAGCAACGGGAATTTTAAATTTGTACATCCTAACTAAAAAAAACAGTTGTGGGGAAGCAGGGGAATAAGTATGCAGAGCCAGACTAAAATGGTAAATAATGTAAATCCATAATTAGGATTCTGTTCAAATCATGCACTTAAAAGGGGTTCTATGTACCTTTTAAAATAATTACAACAGATTAAGTTTCTAGCCATGCTTACAAGTAGTAAGATTTCTCAAGCAATTTAGGTGCCAATAAAGTAGATGTGTACTTCAAGCACTTTTAGTAACCAGAGAAGAGGCCAAAATTTAAGGTCTAGAGTCCTCATACAGTGTGCAAAAAGAATCAGTATCTCAAAAGTGATCAAAAAAATCCACATGCTGAATTTGCAATTCATTGAAATCCAGCCAATGGAAAGCACTAAGCAGAGGGGTGTGTTTGACCTCTTACCTTTGGGAACACATTTTGCAGAGTAAAGTCTTTTAATGCAAGACCTCCAACTTACTGGGCAAATATTTTGACTGACGTGATGTTACATAACAAAGTGGGTACCAGCAAAGCCCAAAGCAACAAACAAACAATAAAAATGCCAGAGCTGGTTTCAAGTCTATAGGTATTCCATATCTCCTGGCACCCATGGTCTCCCCTCAACTCTAGGCTCTTCCACTTTGATTACCAGCTCCAAGACCAACCCCCAATAGATCTTCATTGACAACTGCCCTGTCCTAATGGTGGGCACTGGCACAGTAAGCACCACAAGACGGGAAATACCTTCTTACCCTCCACTCTGGCACACAGCCTGCCACCACAAGAGGAAAACACCTTCACTTGAGCAGCTCTGGGTTGAGCCACGTGCAGTCTGAAAGCAGCCCTCAGAAATTTGGAAACAAAGATCTAACAAGCCTGAGCATGTGCAGAGAGTCTTCAAAGGCTGAGTACCAAACTCTGCAGCTAAGGACATGTGGGATTGCCAGCCATTATTCACACAGGTCATTTTCTGTTTTTAAATTTCAAGCATTTAGCATCTACTTA